ACGGTATAATATCCGGTTACTCGGGGTGGCGGTACCGGAACCGGCGGTTCCGGAACCGAAACCGTCCCGGAACCGTACCGTGTCCACCCCTAATTATATGTAACAACTGCACAATTTGGTTTACATAATGTTTTGCACCTTTCCTCTCCTCTGGTACTACCCTTAAAATGTCATTTTGATTTTGAGATGCAAACAAATTGGTAGTCTTTTCAACCACTAAATGCATTTTTTTAGTGGCCAACAAGCATCCTCTTCAATGTTATCATTTGACCTTTCTCCAAGGTTATGCTTCTCCGGAAGCACTATCTAAATAAATGATGGTAATAGTATAAAATCAATGTTATTCCTCTTCTACTTTGATTCAAGTAGTATATGTGGGTTAAAATTTATTACGAGTATTGATTATTTTTGGATACATTCATTTGTGTGATATCAAAAATTGAAAAAAAAATTTACGTGGAAAAGATATTTATTTCAACATTTGATATCAATATTAACATTTGTTGTAATATAATTTTTTATAACTTTATATTACTACGTATGATTCTAAAAAAGATAGAATTTATTTTGAATAGAAATAGGTAATAAAGAGTAAAAAATTAATAATTGCAGTGGATGTAAAGCACACATACGAAGTGAGTAAGATAGTGGATCCAATCAGTATTGATAATGTGCTAAGTAGTTAATTTAGAGTAAATGTTTGTGGAGTGCTACAATTAGCTTAATGATGATGTGAATTTTTACCACTAAGGTAATGATAAATCCTTTTTTACTTTTATAACATTTGATTTTTACATCACTATATTTTTTAAAGGAAATGATAATCACATTAATTCAAAAGATGAACAATAAAGTCCGGGGGCCTAGGCTCCCAAACACTACGTTGAGCAACCGCCTGATGGGTTAACAAAAGAGCAACCTCATACAACTCTCGACAAACATGGGCAATACGAATTGAACCACTAAAAAAGGATATAGATGACATACACTCCTCGATGATCAAACCAAAGTATGAGTGAAAATCAGTGGCTTGGTTAATATATGGCATTCACCACGACACCACCAATAGATGTTGAAAAAAAGCTTCACCTCCAAGCATGCATCTCTCTTTAACAAAGACAAAGCCTCTCGAACCCCAACTACTTCTGCCATATGAGGATCTTGAGAACAAGCAAGAGTACCATTATAACTTCACTATATTAGTGTATGCTTTATTTTTTAGTTTTCATCAAGGCTGTTAAACTCGCGATCTGAGTCGTAAAATTGCACAATTCTACGAGTCTTTTAGTATCTTACAATCCATAACGCTGCTAACATCTGTAATTTGCAAAATTCCCAAAATTTCTAGCACGATTGTATAGAGCATCAATCCACATCTTTGCTGAGATTTGAAATTCACTAAGGTTTTACTCCATATTTTTCTTAAGCTTGATTTAGTGGACACACACGCATGCACAGACACACACACACACTATATATATATGTGTGTGTGTGTGTTTATATATATATATATATATATATATATATATATATATATATATATATATATATATATATATATATATATATATATATATATATATATATCTGTGTGTGTGTGTGCACACACACCTTTATAAAAAGAAGATTTTGAATTGCATGAGCAATATGTTTTACGTGTTGGTAATCAACAAAGTGAAAAGTCTTGGTTAAATTTGTCATTTGTGACTAAAAAATATTGATATGTATGAGTTCGAGTATTTCAAATAGAAATTAATATGGAGTACGTCTAGTTGTTGCTTAGACAACCAAGGTCTCGTACTTAATCCATATTCCAAATGCATTATAACCCTGAAGGCCGTCTTTGAGGAGTGAGGAACCCAATAAGACATTAGAAAAATGGACTCTTATGTCATAATGAAGTTAGCCTACCAATTTATTTTTTTCAATAATAATTAAAATTATAGAATTAAAAATAATACATTGTCCAATTTATAGTATATATACAAAACACTAATATTTAAACTCCCTTCCAAAATGGGCTCGGGCTGGGTGACTACCCTGCCAATTCCGTAAACCGCATATGATAATACCTTCCGTCTTTCAAGTTTTAAGATATCTATCAGCATATACCAAATAAAAGCCTAACAAAGGTGCTAAATCTCAAATTTAGTGTCATGCAATACATATATACATACTACAACTAAGATTAAAAACATATTTAATCATGCATACCAAAATCTTAATGCTCAACAATTTGATTGGATTGCGCGAGGATATAACTGAGAAGTCATCCGAATAATTAAAACCCACCGATAGCGTAGGCTGGCGGGACCTCAATATTCTCGATGGTCCAGTGTTGGGGAAAGGGTTCAAGTCTAATTCTAGGAGTTGATTAAGGTATCTCGATATTGTGTAATGGTGTTGTGCTACCGTTAACTAGTACAATCGATATCGTATAGTCTACCACCGCATGAGATATTTAGGTCTGTTTTTGGATATCCTTGATATTGGATGTCGATATTAGACTATCGTCGTATGGTATTCGGCTATTGTTACCGAGTATCATTTGGCCACTTTACATAACTTTAAAATGTTCAACCGTCTTCAATCTGCTTTCAGCCATTTTTGCTGAGTTCTCCAACAATAATTTGACCACAAAATGTTTAGAATTGATTTCCAATACATAATTAACATTTTATGTAAAATCAAATTTGATCAGATTAGATTTGATGAGATCTATTTATATTTTATTTGATTAGATCTAATCTTGTTTGATTAAATGTAATTGGGACTGATTTGATTTGAGGTGATTTTATCCAATCTAATCAAGAGTTAAAATCGTTATAATAGCTTTGTTATATAATAATAATAATAATAATGATAATAATAATAATAATAATAATAATAATAATAATAATCATCGTCATCATCATCTCCACCATCATCATAAAACAGGTATATATGGACCTATGGATAACATTAAAATTTGCCCTAATTGTAATTGTCCCAAAAAACTTATCTTTATCTCTATTTTTTAGATATACATGTAAAATCTATAATATTTTGCTCAAATTTTAAAAGAATTTAACCACTTACATTATTATATTCTTATCATTTTCACTTTTTTTTAGTTTTCATGAAAATAAAATAAGCCATTTTTTATAACAACAACAATAACATAGTTGAATCTCATTATAATAGAGTGTGGGGTGGGGGTGTAAACAAAACTTCAATCTATCCGAAGATATGGGCTAGAGAGGTTATTTTAAGAGACGCTCGACTTACACAACATCAATAATAAAATTTCAGGGTGGCACTACTTTTATACAACTAAAATCATTTTAAATATCACTTTTTCACTTTTTTTCGACAGAAGACAATAATTTAATAGAAATCATCCTAAATAGGACTAAAACATAGATAAAAGTATTAAAATAGGACTCTCATGTTTTTTTCCCAGAATAGGACTTTGTACTGTGGTAATGTGACCTTGCATTGTGGTAATGTGGCAGTGTACATGTGCAAATTTCTCTGTTTTTTGGTAATTTATATGACTATGGTTTGTAATGTAAGTTCTATTTCGGGAATAAAAGCATGAAAATCCTATTTTGGTATATTTTCAAAGTTTTAGTCCTACTTTGGTCTTTCTTCCATAATTTAATCACAATGAGATTATTTGATAACATTATAAAACTTATTTGAAATCATTATAAAACTCTGTAGATATTATTAGTAAATTATACGTAACATTAGATAATGTAAAAAAATTAATTGTGTAATAATCATTATATAATAACAAAATAAAATTAGAAATTATTTTCAATGTTATTCTAAATTCATCTAATTTAATTGTAAAACTTTATCTGATTTGATTGAATCTAATTTTAAGTAATGATAATTAATAAGTCAAAATTTGATACTGATCTCATCTGATTGGATCTAATTAGATTAGATCTAATTTTAAAAATAATAATAAATAATAAATTAAAACAAATAAATTGAACGAAACTGACCCTGACTCTTGTAGTCTTGTGAGTGAAATTTAGAGCCTATTCTTTTCAATCTGTTCAGTTTGGATTTGCCTTGATTTAAATAAAATTTTATTTAGATCAAGGCAAATTCTTCTGTGAATCTAAAATTCATGTTTATTTTATGGATCTCAATATATCTATAGTATTAATTAGGACCATGCTAGGGTGCCACCACATGGGTGCTACCATGGGTGCACCCATGTGGTGGCACCCTAGCATTTTTCTATTAATTAATGTTTAATGAGCGATGTTTCGATGACATTGCTAGGCTATGTCATGGGATGACCTAGGAGCGCTCTAGTGCCTCGTTCGTAAAATTGACGGTTCCTACCCCTAACTCCTCCAGTAAACCCTCCATGCCGCCCTGATCCGAACACACCCTCCACACGCTTCAATTCCACTCCGCAAATCGGTTTTTACTTTGAGTTAAAATTTAACTCTAAAGTTAAAATCAACTTATGTGGTGTAATTGAAGATGGTAGACTGCGTGTTCAGGTCGGAACATGGTGAAAGGTTTACTAGGAGATTAGTAGGTAGAAAACGTCAATTTTACGAACGGAACATCGGAGCAATTCCTGGTCATCCCTTGACAATATGACATTGCCTGAATGGTTGCGGTGATGTTTCATTATGTAATTAAAATAATCAAACTGTCAATTTTAGAAAGTACCCATTTTTTTCTTTTGCTCCATCTCGGGGCCGTGGGTTTCTCTCTCCTTCATTTCTTGAAATAAAACCCTATCTGCAATCCAAATTCCCCTCCCCCTCTTTCTGCTTTTCTTTGTCTGTATAATCAGATCCGTCGATATGATCCATTCATCTATTTGTCGTTAATTGACCCGTTCTCGCGCAATCAAATGCGAAGACATTCGAATCTCTGATTTTGTTTCTCCCAATTTTCCAATTTCTCTGAAAGCCTCTCACTGCTTCCCAATTTCATTATATCTTCATTCCAGCTTTGATTTCGCTGTTCTTCTTCTTGAAAATTTGGGATTTTCGGCCGGGATAGAAAGGCTGGCGATTGTTCCGTGTATTTGGTAATGGCGGAAGCGCCTCCTGCCCGCCTCAGGTCTATTCTCGTCTTTGCTTCCCAATTTGAAGAGTCCGTTTGCTTGGGTGAAGGTGGTTGTGGTTATGAAGTGAGTTCTTTAACTTTAGAATCAGTGAGAAAAGTGTGGACTGATCTGCTTATCCCAGAATGGTGACTGTGGTGCGAGTGCATCTCCCGTCAGAGATACCCATAGTAGGATGCGAACTTACGCCCTATGTTCTTTTGCGTCTGCCCGATAGTTCTGTAACTCCAGATGATGTTCCCGAGTCCTCCCCCATCAATGGCCAATTCTTGAGATACAAGTGGTCAGTTAATCATTCTTTGTACCCACTGCCTTAAAAATATTTTGTTTTAACCCTGTTAGATGTTTATTTTTCTGTTTTTTCCTTCTAACAAAGTAGTTTGCTTGGTTTTGTCTGTTTATGTGCTCTTTATGTGATTTGGTGCTGTTTAATCTTTTGGAACAGTTTCTCTATTTCTAAGTATATGGAAGTGTTTTGGATCAATCTGTAAGGGCAATGCTTTGTGTTTGACAAATTGCCAATGATATTTTGTACTCCCTCCGTCCTATAATGATCTTCCCAGAGCACTATTCCAACTTCACGGGAATTTATATTTATTTGTGTTTTTTCATGGCCTATATGATAAAATAAAATATTCTTGTCACTACTTGTTTTGTTGAACTTTTGATGTAGTTTTTAAATATGTATGTTTTATTTTTTATTTCTATACCAATATTTAAATAAAATAGATTGAAAAAATTTGAAATTTTTCTTCGTTTTGCGAACCGGGAAGATCATTATAGGACGGAGGGAGTATACAAAAACGTTGCGTTGTTTACATATAAGCATTCAATTTGTTCTTTATTCTATATATTGCAACTTTTCTTACAAGATAAGAGAACGTTGTTAGCTGTTGAAAATCTTGCCAGGGTTTTGTGATGTTTCATTTTTTAATGAGATGCTTTATATGTTATAGACTAGTCTATCTAATGATGTAACAATTCATATTGGTATATGGTTGATTACTGATTATGGATAAAGTTGAGGATAGATTAAGGATATATAGATGGATTTTACCTATTTTATTTTCTGGGTAGGAACTAAGAATATGAAAGGTTAATGCACCATTGATCACTGTGATGATGGATTAAATAAGGCTTAAATTTGTCGTATGCCTCCCTACCTAGTGGGGGCATGAATCCCATGGATTTCATATTTGACCCTCCTCACAATGCCCTTACCTTTTGAAAATAAATGGGGTAAACTATTTGAAAACTGATGAGTTAGATGATATTACAAAACTGAACTGGTAATATGTTGAAGAATTAAGGGATTGAATTCTATGGAACCAAGAATGTACATGGGTATGCACTTTGAAAATGCCTACTTGTGATTTTAAAGTTATTACCCTTTGGATTTAATGGGAAAAATTTAAGTCTGTCCAGTTTCACATGGAATTGTATATTTGCATCTCATTTCACTAGTTAATTTTACAATTTCAGTTTCGTAATGGGACATATAAACTTATTACCTATCTCAAGTTGACAACTCGTTGTGGTCTTGTGGTTTCCATACAAGCAAAAAGGTCTATGACAATGAAAAGTTTAAAATGTTATAGCATCATTAATTTGCAGGAAGGTTGTGTGAAACGCCGCCACAATTTTTTACTTTTTTGCATGAATTGGTAGCATTAACTACTTAGCTATTAACTAATTTTAGACAATCAATTTGTATAGATTTCATGCCACCAACCCCAAATAGGTTGGAGTTCGGACTTCACTTAGTATCAAGGTAATTTTGTGTTTAATTTTCATCTATATATGCTGGTGGGAGGTTTAGTGTATATTATATAGGTAACCATATAGCATAGGTTTTATACCCTTATGATCATTAGTGATTGTGGGTTTAAGAAATACAGTAGTGATGGTTAAGGCAGTCAATAGCAATGAAATTGGATTCAAGTGGTAGGTCCACACTATACATATGTTATATGTAGTTGCTTCTTATTCTCAATTTTGTATACTAGTTAGTAGTCCCCATAAAGGATTTCCTCCTACACAAATTATATTATTTGGGATTCAACTACAACCACTGCACCAAGTGACATGTTTGATTTTAAAAGAATTATCATGCCTTTTGTATAGTATCTTGGAGATGCTTATTTTTGCAAAGGTGCCCGTGATTATATATTTATATGGTTGTTTATACTTGCCGTGTAAATTTCCCACCCAGTTTGGAAAACATACCCTTAAGAAAAAAAGCAAACTATAGCTAAGTGATTGTTTTTTCTCTGCAACAGACTTTCATTGAGTAGCTTTATTAAATATCTTATATCTGATATTGCCTTGTAGTATGAGATAAATTTCATTGATATTTTTTTCTGGATGTTTGGTTTAACATGTGCTACTTGGATTGACATATAATTACAATTGTCTGGAGCCATTTACAGGTATCGAATACAAAGTGACAAGAAAATTGCCATCTGTAGTGTTCATCCATCTGAGCAGGCTACATTACAGTGCATTGGATGTGTGAAAGCAAAAATTCCTGTCGCTAAGAGTTACCATTGCTCCACTAAGTGTTTTGCACATTCATGGCCACATCACCGTAGTTTGCATGAACATGCTGCTAGTGCTGTCAATGACAACACAAATGAGGATGAAGAAGTAGTATGCTACAACAACACAACAACTTTGCATCCATCACCATCTGCTTCTAGCTTGGCAAATGGCACAACACCTTTATATCCATCATCAGCTGCACAGAGGAATGGTGGTGAAGCCTGGGTTGAAGTTGGACGGCTTAAGACATATACACCAACAACTGATGATATTGGTCATGCCCTTAAATTTGAATGTGTTGTTTTAGATGCAGAAACCAATCTTTCAATTGGACTGGCAAATACTATATTGACATCTCGTGTGATTCCAGCTCCATGTCCTACACCACGCCGCTTATTTTCAGTCAGAGAAGGTGACGTTTCAGCAATTCCTGATTTGGGTGGCCGCATTTCGTCTTCTGGAACATTTACTGTGCTCTCGTACAATATATTATCTGATTCACATGCCACAAGTGAACTATACAGTTACTGCCCGTCTTGGGCCCTTTCTTGGACATATCGTAGACAGAATCTATTGCGTGAAATAACTGGCTATCGTGCTGACATTGTTTGTCTTCAAGAGGTACACATGATGGTAGATTTTTGGAAGTTAGTTCAGTCTTTTAAAGCATAGGATCTATTTACTGCTTCCGTCCCAAAAATGAAGTTTGCAATTTGACTTCATGGACTTTTAAGGGAAGTGTTGAAAAGTAAAAAAGTGTGGTTGACATTTGTTTAGAAGAGACAAATTTTGTGGGAGATGTTATTTTCCTTAAAAGGAAAGAAAAGAAGTCTAAAATTTATTTTGGAGCCTCCAAAAAAGAAGTGTAAACTTCATTTTGGGAAGGAGGGAGTATATGTGAATAGTTTGGAGATTTCCAAATGTTTGTTTGCATAATGGTATATTCATGATGCAATATTTATGCCTCCAAATTTTATTGTCCACTAGAAATCTTTTTTCACTTTAAATATTGACCAAATGTACATGCCATTGTCACTTCTTACTCCTCCAAGTAAATTTTATTCATAAATGAGCATTTTGAATCTCCCTTCTGACATGCATCATTCATTCATTCCCTTTCAGGTTCTAAGTGATCATTATGAAGAGTTCTTTCGTCCTGAACTGGACAAACATGGCTATCAATCTTATTTCAGAATGAAAAGTTGTGAGGTTAGTTATATTGATGAAATGTTATTAACCTAAAAGATCGTTGCATCTATGAGCTGATATAACTTTTGTTTGCAGGGGTATGGTAGAAGTATGAATAGTGTTGATGGCTGTGCTACTTTTTTTCGACGGGATAGATTTTCGCACGTTAAGAAATATGAGGTATAAAAAGCCTAGAAGTAGCTGAATGCTGAGGTAATTTTTGCTTTCTTAATTTTTATGCTTTGCGCAGGTTGAGTTTAACAAAGCTGGGCAATCATTGGCTGATGCTTTAGCTCCCAGTGTTCAAAAGAAAACTGCTTTAAGTCGTTTGATCAAGGTATCAAAATTAATTAATCAAGTGGAGTTGTGTACAGCTATGGCTTTTAGATGCATGTTATTCTGTCTTGCTGACTTGTTCTGTCTATTATTTATACACACCATTGCATTCTGTCATGGTAGGTTATTCTATCTATGTTAATTGGCTCTAATACAGGATAATGTGGCACTCATTATGGTCCTGGAGGCAAAGTTTGGTAACCAGGGTGTTGATAACCCCGGAAAGCGCCAGTTAGTATGTGTGGTAAGTACTCTTATACATATCCATGTGCATGTTATAGGCTGGTTTACTTGGATTTTTGCGTTATATAATAAGATTAATAACTTATTCCTTGCACAGTTACACATGATCCCTTTTGTATAACACAGGGCTGATCCGTTATTATATGAGTATACTTTAATATTATGAATATCTAGTAGATACTTCCTCTGTTCTTTAAATACTGCCTAATTGGAATTTTACACTAATCGTGCTCTCCATTTTGATCATCTTGTTGTGATTTAGATTAAAGAAACAGGCATGTAGGGTCTTGTTTGATCCATGATCCGTTTCAATTTAAAATTTCATATTATCAATTTTTCAAATTTATATTAAAGCGCTTTGCTAATTTATGGGGCTTTTGTGGATTTAAATGTTGTTTTTTAATTAAGGTCTAGAGTGGTTGAATATGCTGAATTCAGGGTCCATTTGGAAAACATTAAAGTGGCTTCCATAAAATGTTTTTTGGAAAATGAGTTATTTTCCGGAAATCATTTTCCTTTTCTGATGTTTCGCTATAAGTCTGAAAATTGTTTATTTCTGTTTGGTTTAAATCCAGAAAATGAGTACTCAAAAAAATGAATATCACAAAGAAATAGACAGAATTGCATGACCTATGAGACAAAAAAACTAAATCAGTAGAAAAAATCTCATCAGGATTCAATAAAAAGTTAGATTACAGTGAAATAATCAAGCAAATAGAATAATCCGTATCAAACAAACAAATAGCAGCATCCAATTTGAGTGAAAAGTGGATTTATGAAGAGAAATACGGAGTAGTCAAATAGACATCATCAGATTTGACTGAGAAGAAGATTCAAGATGGAGAAGAAGCAATGAAAAGGGAGAAGACATAGCAGCGCCTAGCGGCCTTGATGCACTCACTAGTGGTTGATTGTCCTGCTGTGACGGCATCTTCTTGGAGTGGCGGTGTGACGGTGTCTGAGATAGGGTTTACGAATTGAAGAGAAGACGACGAGGAAGAACGAGATGGCAGAGAGGGAATGCGACTGGATGCGGCTCAGGAAACGGAATCACAAAAAGGAAAATGACTTCCGCCTTTGAGAAGGGGAAGACAAATTCTGATTTTTAGAGCTGATTTTCCATTGACCCAAGCCTTATTTTCCTTTGGCTTGAATTTTCCAATATTTCCAAACAATGAAAATGGAGAAAGTGACTTTCCAGTAGTCATTTTCCCCATTACCAAACGGAGCCTTACTGAAGTTGTTGCATAACTGACTGAATTGGATGACTATGCCAAATAATCCACTCCCTCAGGCTCATTCTTTTCTGCTGGAGGGAGTGAATTGAATTACTCAATACTTTCTTTAAAGGGAAACAACTACAAACAGCTACCAACAACGTACCGAGTGGAGTCTCATGCAGTAGGGTCTCTAATATTGGAAACAAGTTGGGACAAGCGGAAAAGAAAAAATGCACTATATAGCAATAAAATACCTCAAAAAAAACTCCGTATATGCTAAATAAATCAGAAAATAATAAGTAAAATGAAGATAAAAATGTCATTTTTCTACAAAAGAGTAGATGGGCTATAACATTTTGTGGGATGTCACTTGTCTAAGAGCATTAATTTAGTGTTATTTTGGTTTGATGATGCAGGCAAACACTCATGTGCATGTTCCACAAGAGTTGAAGGACATCAAGCTTTGGCAGGTGATCATAACATGCATTTTGTGGCAGTGACACTTTTACTTTATTATTTGGAACAGATCTGATTATGAATGTCTTCAATAATCAGGTTCATACACTTTTGAAAGGACTGGAAAAGATTGCTGCTAGTGCTGATATTCCAATGTTGGTCTGTGGTGATTTTAACTCGATACCTGGAAGGTCTGTCATTTTTACGTCCTCCCTTTTCCTACAGGACATTGCTCAATCATTGATTAGCTATATTGATACATGGAATGCATCTGTTGCAGTGCTCCTCATGCACTCCTTGCAATGGGGAAAGTTGATCCGATGCACCCAGATCTAGTAGTTGACCCTCTTGGTATTCTTCGCCCAACATCCAAGTTAACACATCAACTGCCACTGGTATTGATTCCATATGCTGAAAGACATATTGCTTTTTTTTTTATATGTTTCTTTACATGCACATAGCTCATGCACTGCCTCCACCTCTGCTTTTAATGATTGAAAACCTACTGCAATTAGAATTTTAGAATTCTTAATTTGTTATTTCTTCAGTTTTTTCCCGAATACTCTTTTGTTTAATAAAGATCCTTGTTTGAGTATGTTACAACTTTTTTTAATCAACTCAGTCAAGGTACATGCTTTAACAAAGTACTGTTAAGACTTCTGCGCATGGATGGTCATTTATACTCCTAAAATTTATTTTCAAGCTTGTTTGAGCCAATGGATGACTGACACTGACTTTTTAAAGTGGACGTTTTTTTTTGTGTGTGGAAAAAAATTTCTTGAAAGAGAAATGGGACATAGAGAGTTATTAAAATGAGTTTAACTTGCTTCTTGTTGTGGTGTCATTTATAGGTAAGTGCTTACACTTCCTTTGCTAGAATGGAGGGTGGTCTTGGAAGCGAGCGCCACAAGAGGAGGATGGATCCTATCACCGAGGAGCCCTTGTTTACAAATTGCACTAGAGACTTCATTTCTACTCATGATTACATATTCTATTCAGGTATATAATTCTTATAAATAACTGACGCACATGTTAGTAGATGATTGGTTCTATGAGCAAATTATAATAAAAAGTTGTGCAGTGAGGATTTCCACTGGTTTACCAAATGGGGGCCTTATTAATTTGACTTTTCTGTTCTCATTTTGAACAAAAGTCATTACTCATTTTCCGGTGTGTGTGTGTGTGTGTGTGTGGAGGCTGATGCACAATGATATTTTGATATGTTGTTTCAGCGGATTCATTGACTGTTGTGTCATTGTTGGAGCTTCTAGACGAGGATAGCGTGAGAAAGGACACAGCACTACCTTCTCCAGAGTGGTCTTCTGATCACATAGCCCTATTGGCCGAATTTCGCTGCAAACCAAAGCAGAAACACTGATGCTTGGTAGGTGTGAATCGCCCTAATTTTTCTCCCTTCAAAATCAGATAACCCAATTTTAAGAACAATACTCAAGGTTTACAACAACCTAAATTCAAAATAAATAATTATAAGCCATTATCACAAGTTAATAACACCCAAATACATAGTACTCCCTCCCTCCCAAAATGATCTTCCTTATTTTCTTTTTGGGCATCCCAAAATGGTATTTCCATTTCCGAATTGGAAGTGTGTGTTTCCAAACATACACTAGCTCCATGTTCCCAAAGATTGGATCAGAGAAATTTTCAATTTAGAACGTATGCTGGTACAGTAAAAAGCAATCGCAAGATCGTACATTTTTGCAATCTGAATCACAATTTTAACAACCTTAACGACAGTACATGTTGGTTTTTTGAACATATCATCATCATCATCATCATCACTATCTTAATCCCAACCGGTTATGGTTGGTGTCCTGAAATATACGTGTTCTATAATGTGTGTGCAGGTCTTTTTCTACACAATGGATTTTGAAAATAGATGCAGCAGTCACGAAGAGTTTCATGTAAAAGTTACTGTAACAATAGTAGATGATGATGATTGGTATCCTCCCCTAGAGGCCCCCCCCCATAGCTATTGTATCTTCTTTTTTGTATTATGCTGCTTTTTTCTCATAGAAGGAAAAAAAGATCCATGTTTTCCTTTATTCAAATAGAAGAAATATCATCTATCCAATATATAATCTCTTCCTTCTAATCGTCCAAACTTGCTGCTCATAATTTGCCCAGTTCTCTAAATGCATTTTTGTTCCATACCTATTTGAATGTCTGTGCACTTCATCTTGAGCCTTGTGGACTGGACACAATTCTGGTCTCCGGTTTGATCCTCTTTCTAAGGACAGTGTCTGGTTCCATTCATCTGAAAATGAGAGCCCCAAACCATGTTTGGTACCCATTTTTTGGCTTATTTTGCTAAACAAGAGAGCAACCCCAGTATATTCTGACTTGCTTATTTGGTTGAAATGAATGTCTTTAAATTGCATCTCACTAACTCCTACCAAATGGGCTTTGACTCTATCACCATAGTTTTGGCACCACAGTTCTTTTGACCTTAAAAAATGATACGGGCATGTATGTTGCATGGGTGCTAAAATTGATGGTTTATACCTTTCTAATCTCCTCTTAAACCCCAGCCTAGACCCCCCCACCCCAGTCTTCCCTCGCGTGACAGTGTATATTGTCGGGAGAGAGAGGGTGGTGGTTAGGGTTTAGAAGAGAGGGTAGTGCGCAACATATATCGTACGATTAGTTCCATGACATTTTCTCGTATATCTGCAGTGAATGCCCATTTATGAGTAACTAAATACGGAGTATTTATTTTTGAAAAAGTGAACATTCATTCTCAATAATTGAGTGTTCATTTCTCTTAGATTTAGTTATGCTCGAAAATGAGCATGAATTATTCGAAAATGAGTATTTTGTTACTCGAAAATGAGTATTTACTCATTAATGAGTATTCATGCAGATGAGAAATATCGTACATCCAGATGTATGGTATAGGTACTCTAAACGTAGACATTGGGTGTTCAGAACATTTTTTCGAAGGTCAAAACAACGGTGGTATAGGTTCATGACTTTGTTAAATTAGTTGAGGTGATTTTGGATTGAACAATGGACTATTTGTATCGTTTCATTCATTTGGTTCCATTTTATATTTTCATTTTAGTTGTAATTGTGATTATTTCTTTTAGTGATGTTTGCAATTGCAAATGTAAAAAAAAAAAAATACGGAGTAAACATTACCTAGTACTTGCTCAGCGTGGTCTCTAATCTCTAGGATTGGACGAATTAGGACTGAGCCTAGGGTCCCCAAATACGGAGTATTAAGCCTAAGCATTTCATATATTGATAGCTGTATTTAAACTTCAGAATTCAAAAGTCCAACCCGGTTAAAGTCACAAATATTTTGCTACCAAATGTTATCTTCGGTTATTGCCAACATCACACCCCACTCGAACAATGTTCAAAAAATTGGACCGGATGTCAACTCAGACAAGAGGGGTGGGTCAATAACTAACGGGTCGAACTGGCCAACTTGGGGTCAATGACTTGGTAAACTATAAATAAAATACTACTCCGGGTATTATATTATTAGATACTTTTAGTCAATAAAAGTAATTTAGTTTGTGTTTTTTAATTCTTCATCTAGTTTTTAATGTTCCTTATCATTATGCATATGCTATTTTGCAATTTCTATTTTTATTCTATCATTGTTATTATTTTTAAAAGTTAATTAATTATGTATATCTAACGAATACTTAAATAGTAAGATAATCCTCATATTTTCAAAAAACTAAAGACTAGTTAGTAGTTAAAACTACGTAGTAAGTTCTATACTATTGACATTTTAAAAATTTTATTTAGTCGATTAATGTGATTGAAAAACAATGTAGCATATTAGAATATAATTCATATTTTAAAGATGAATATACTATTTTAGAATAAAAATAAATAGTACTAACTGTTTTTAACTTTGAACTACTTTAGACGTTAATACAAATAAATATAATTATAAACATAGTCCTTTATTTAATTATTAGAAGCCTTTCTAATTATTTTCTAAGTAATCTAAATTGCACGGTAGTAGCACATGTGGATAATCCCCTTCTTGCCAAGCAAGCCAAGGAAGTCATGGTCATACTAGTATAAATTATTGGAAATAGTGATTTTGATCTAAACTCAGGAATCAGTCTTGGTCAACCTGTTCGCTAGTTCTTTCAGGTTTGAACAGTTCGAAGCAAAAATAAATTTTAATGATAAGTCAGACCAGTCTTGGTCAACCTGTTCACTAGTTCTTTCGGGTTTGAACAGTTCGAATCAAAAATAAATTTTAATGATCAGTCGGATTAGACTGGTGTTCCTGGACAAATTGGTCCGACCGGTCCAGTCCGGTTATCGTAACACTGCACTGGAGAGATCCCTAACACCACTTGGTATCCTATATAGTTTCCATATTTAGGTTCTTCTAGGACATGCAAATTATGAATTGGCATGGTACACAATGTAAATTGGCTTAAATAGAGATGAAAGGTTAAGAGTTGGTTGAAACTCCAAAGGGTATATCCATCCAAAAGTAGAAATGAAGGAAATGAATGTCATGTTTTAAGAAGAGAAGATGCTATTTAGACATGATTATACAGTCTCCTTCATTTCTGGTTATTTTAGGGAAGGAAACATAAATGGTTAACAATATTCAAAATCTCTGAGAAATAAAAAATAAAATAACGGGGGCGGTATGTAGATTAAATCATCAGTTTGTCACCACAGTCTTGCTTCTTGAAGACTCAAAACAATTATGCTTGGGACTCTGTGCCCGTGACCGGCTTTGCATTGAGAAGCGGTTGCAATGCCTTGACAACAATAGTCATATTTGGGCGAAAATCAGCCTCGTATTGAACACAAAGTGCTGCAACAGCTGCCATCTGAGAGGAGCCAAACGTAGAAACCTTTACACTATGTATGATTCAAGGAATTTGAAAGGAAAAAGAAACAAAAATCAGAGGAGAATGGTTTACCTTGGCAATAGCCTTTGGGGGATAGTCATTGTTTAGCTTAGGATCCACACATTGTTTCACTTTGTCTTCGCTCAATCTTGGCGTTGCCTACAAATAACAAAAAGAAACAGGTAAAAAATGGGAAAATGATTAAACTAGGAGTAAAACACGGAGAAAGTATCAAAATAAAAGCTCCATATTTTTTATCCCTAAAATAAGAGTACAATGCCAATAACACCAATGTATAGTACGGAGTACCAAAAAATACAGTGGGATGCCACTATACAGTGTTATAAAGTCACAGTGCAAACTCCTATTTTGGAGATAAAAACATGAAACTCCTATTATTATGAGGATAAATGCTATGTTTTAGTCTTATTTGGGGTGATTTCTTAAACGATAGAAACGTTTCTAGGAGAGCATATATATACCCATGTGACAAGGCTCTGTTGCCCTTTGGGCATGGTGTGATCAACTGGCTTCCTTCCTGTCAATAGTTCTAAGAGGACAACTCCAAAACTGTAAACATCACTCTTCTGAGTAATCTGTCCTGTCATTGCATACCTGCAACCGAAATTTAAAAGTATATGGTAAGAAATTAGTATAAGATTATATATACCGTTAATAACAAATTAATTGAAGAGGAATAAAAACAAGAAATAACTCTGGAGCATGGTAGCCAAAAGTCCCCAAGACCCTTGTGGAGTGCAACCGGGCAGCTGTGTCAGAGGACTGGTTTGTCAAATTGAAATCAGCAAGTTTGGCTGTAAAATCATCAAAGAGCAGAACATTGCTGGATCTGATATCGCGATGAACAATGGGAGGCTGAACTTTTTCGTGCAGATATTCGAGGCCTCTTGCTGCCCCATAAGCAATCTTAACTCTCTGGTTCCAAGCAAGAACCGGACCTGGCTCAGCACCTTGTACACCTTTTCTTCCTGCAATGATCATAAAAAACATCCCAATGCCTAACAATCAATCCATGAAAACCCCACATAATAATGATTACTCTCAGAAGCCTACCATGGAGAACGTCATGTAAAGATCCCGAGGTTGCAAACTCATATACGAGGATCCGATTATCTGCCTCAAGACAATACCCAAGAAGAGCCACAAAATGATCATTCTTGAGTCTTGAAACTGTTGACAACTTTAATTATAGTCAGAAAAGAAAGAAAATAGTGTTAAACAAATATATAAACAAAATACAAACTAACCTATAGAACTCTTCTAAGTTTGTCCATTTTCAAATGTAACCCTAGTCTTAATAACTAAGAACGTCATCAAAATTCTGACAACTTAGTTATGACTAGAAGTTAAGCAAAGATAAGTGGTGTTCAATAAAGAGTTTGTTGAGAGAATGTTTTGGTCTCAGAGAGCTTGTTTTTTAAGGTTTTTGAAAACCCAATATGGAGCTTCTTGTATCAGCTATTCTAAAGTCTGGGTTGCAAGAATTTGTAAGCACTTTTTGAAAACTGCTAACAAATGGTTGCCAAACAGGGTATTAAAGAAACATTGGTTATGAGTTATGACTCACTTGTGCTGCAAAGTCAGAATCTGGCTCTGGTGAAGAGCTGGTGTCCAACTTCTTTATTGCAACCTGTTGCCCATTGCTTAGCGTCGCAGAGAAAACACGGCCGTATGATCCTTCACCCACCAAAGCCTTTGGACCAAAGTTACCTGTTAGTTTATTAAGCTCGTCCAAACGCATTACG